ATAAGTAAATATAGAGCAAATATAATAAGTAAATATACAGGGTGTCCCAAAAATGTCTTGTAATCCGAAAGTGGCGGGTTCCTCGGGTCATTCGAAGCAACTTTTTCTTTTACAAAAATTTTCTCCGAGGCACCGTTAACGAGTTATTCACGAAAAACAGTGACCAATGAGAGGCGTGCTCGACTGGCGCGAGGCGACCGAGCCAATGAGCGGAACTGGGCTTCGCGTGCTGGTTGGCTGGGCCGCCTCGCATCGGCCGTACTCGATTCTTATTGGTCACTGTTCTTTCGTTAATAACTCGTTAACGGTGCCTCGGAGAAAATTTTTGTAAAGGAAGAAGTTGCTTCAAATGATCCGAGGAACCCGCCGTTTCCGGATTGCGAGACATTTTTGGGACACCCTGTAGAGTAAATATAATAAGTAAATATAAAGTAAAATATAACAAGTAAATGTAGCATAAATATAATAAGTAAATATATAAAATAAATATAATAAGTGAATATAAAATAAATATAATAAGTAAATATAAAGTAGATATAATAAGCGATTCGAATCAACTAATCGGGCGAAATTGCTCGCAGTTCGTCGCACGGTTACGTACGTTCAATGTTGGCGAACCTGTACCGGTTCATCAGCAAGAACTCCTCATCTAGGAGCACCTCGATGCCGGCGATGTCGACGTCGCGCAGCGCCCAAAACAACGCTGCGTTGGCAAACGTGCGAACATCGGTGTCGATCCGTACGTCCATCAGCAGCAACGTGACTTCTTCGCAGACCGTCTCGAGGACCAGCGTGACGACCACTTGGTCGACGTTCGTCGGATCAAAGGGCAGCCGTTGGAGCGAGCGCGCGATTCGCATCTTGGCCTCCCTCAACTGTTCCCTGGTCTCCGATATCCGGTGTATCCGGTCCCGTTCTTCGAAGGCGCCAGGCAGATCGAACTTTCCCGGTAGAAGCGTCCTGCGCGGGGCTTTCGCGGTATCAGTGTTCACGGAGGAATAAGTCACGCAGTGGACTGGGCGGTGCACGGTGGTTCCACACAAAAAACGGGGAAAAACATATAAAAAAAGAATATATTTAAAACATTGCATATGAGAAAATTATATATTTAAGCCTCACTTTTTCGTTTTATATTGTTACTATGTATATTTGGGGTTTTGTTGGAATGGAATAATGAAAACGATATGCAGCGTTTTAATTGTTCATAAACGTATTTTTTTAAAATAGAATTTTTGCTTTCAATTCGATTCAATTCAATTGAATTTTGAATTTTATTACATTAATTTTTATTTATAGTTACATGTATTCTATATTCAGTTTTAGTTTATTTTCAGATATTATATGTTTTTTTTCCTCGCTTTTTGCATAGAAGCTGACCATTGTGCCGTACATGCGCATTCGAAATTCTCGAAATTCATGAAATGCTTATTTATTTCCATTTTTTCTGAGACGAACACTTTTTGGAGAATCAAATTGTTTATTAAATGTAACGACAACGTCGATTTTTTCTCGAGAGAAATCTAGAGAGCGAGGAATCTATAGAGAGAGAGAAGGTGCGAGAGAAAGAGAGAGAAATCTAGAGAGAGAGAGAGAGCAATCTAGAGAGCGAGAAATCTAGAGAGAGAGAGAGAGAGAGAGAGAGAGAGAGAGAGAGAGAGCAATCTAGAGAGCGAGAAATCTATAGAGGGAGAAATCTCGAGAGAAAGAGAGAGAGAGCGAGAAATCTATAGAGGGAGAAATCTCGAGAGAGAGAGAGAGAGAGAAATCTAGAGAGCGAGAAATCTCTCTCTCTCGAGAGAGAGAGAGAAATCTATAAAGGAAGAAATCTCGAGAGAGAGAGAGAGAGAGAGAGAGAGAGAGAAATCTAGAGAGCGAGAAATCTCAAGAGAGAGAGAGAGAGAGAGAGGGCAAGGGAGTGGAGAAGTGGCCAGCGAGGGGACAGGAGACGGGCAATTAAAAACGTCCATGGCCGGGGGTGGCCGGGGGTGGCAGAGGGCGGCGGCGGCGAGGGGTCGCCGGGTCAGCTCTTTTGATAATGAATCCCCGTACGTTTGTATGACGCTTTAAAAAATTTACGACACTTGCTTTTTACCGGGCCGAAACGAGACGGGGGGAGAAAGGAGGTGGAGGAAGGCGCCGCGGAACGCCGGCGAAAAATTTGAATAATTTATTTTCTCCGCCGTTCTTCCGAGAACGCTCGCGAAATAAATTCTCATTAATTTCGCGGACGGAGGGGGATGGGGCCGGGGAACGTCGCGATACCACCGTGTACTCTCTCTCGGCCTCGCGTTGCTTAATTGCTTCTTATAAATGCTCGTTTCGCGGCGGCGGTTTCGCAACGCGCCGGAAGGAAACGGCAACGGGAGATACACCGGTTTGACGGATCACCGTTCGCCGACGTTTATTCGTGGCGAGGGTGAACGCCGGATTGTTCGGATGAAATTCGAGATAAGGTCTCGCTTTTTCGCTAAGTTTCGTCGGATTTTATTTTGAATAGACTGTAGAAATTTGGTAATAATAATCTTGTAGGTTTCGAACATTTTTCTGTGCCGAGTTTAAAAGGACTATAATTATGTGCTACATACATATATTATATAGCTATATTGTATATTATATTCTATATATTACTGTGCTATAATTATGAGAAATTCGCGGGATTGTACGGCGATTTTTAGACCGCGGATTTTTATTCGCGAAACAGAGTCTGTTCAACCCCTGCAAGAGGGTGTCTGTGTCAGTGTTGGCCAAGAATATTCAAATCATTTATTAATCGCGACAATTGAACATTTTTCGAGCAACGAGATAATATCCGGAATGCGAAGCAATCTTTTAGATCGAATCTATGAATTTACGAACCTGACCGGTGACAGTGGTCTTCTGGGTAAAGGAATTGCTTCGTATCCAATCTCTGGATCGGCGAATATAAAATCCCTCGGCCTCGGTGTAAGATTGTACGGTAAATATCTGGAAATCGCATACACGATGTTTAAACAAATGATTGAATGAATGGATAAAAAATTACCGGATGAATTGCGAACATTCTTACAGGATGAATAGTGCATAGTCAATGATTGTTTATTAGAGTGTGACATGACACAACAGAACAAATAAATTAATAAGGGGTAATTATTATTTTATTTCTATTTTGTTATTTTATTTCCATTTTATTGTTATTTTATTTCTATTTCATTATTATTTTATTTCTATTTTATTGTTATTTTATTTCTATTTCATTATTATTTTATTTCTATTTTATTATTATTATTTTTATTATTATTTTATTTCTATTTTATTATTATTATTTTTATTATTATTTTATTTCTATTTTATTATTATTTTTGTTCTTATTTTATTTCTATTTCATTATTATTTTATTTCTATTTTATTGTTATTTTATTTCTATTTTATTGTTATTTTATTTCTATTTCGTTATTATTTTATTTCTATTTCATTATTATTTTATTTCTATTTTATTGTTATTTTTGTTCTTATTCTATTTCTATTTTATTGTTATTTTATTTCTATTTCATTATTATTTTTATTCTTATTTTATTTCTATTTCGTTATTATTTTATTTCTATTTTATTGTTATTTTATTTCTATTTTATTATTATTTTATTTCTATTTTAGTATTATTTTATTATTTTATTTCTATTTTAGTATTATTTTATTATTTTATTTCTATTTTATTATTATTTTATTATTATTTTACTTCTATTTTAGTATAATTTTATTTTGTTATTTTATTATTTTCACGATATGCTGACTGCGATAATGCGTCAGACGCTCGCACGCCGCAAACGATGCCCCGAACACGGCGAACGCAGGCTCGTCGGTTTCGCAATCGACGCGAAACCCTCGCCAGCGTAGCCACGAGGAGATATCGATGCAGGAGGAATCCAAGGATCCACGGGGATTTGTTTAGATTTCGGCCGGGGCGCCGCTCCTGTCATTAAAGTTGAACGGCGAATTGGGAGCCGGGATCGTCCGTGTTCCTGTAAAATTAACGTGCTCCCGTGGTTTCCCCGATCCATCGGCCGCGTCCGGGCGAAACCGTTATGGTTACTTTTCCAGCAATTTCCGTCGAATCACCGGCCACCAAAGGGGCCGGCAAAGCGGATGAAAAGCAAAGCCGCCGGCAGCAGCCCGGCGTCTTCTTCGAACGGCCGGCCGCAGTAAATTGAGCGAAGCCATTCGCAGTTGCATTTCCCGCAATTTCCGTCCGGTCGTCGCCGCCTACCGAAAAGCACAACAAACTCCGCGAGAGATGGATCTTTTCGAGCCACCGGTCGGGGTTAGGCGCGAACGCGAGGGGTAGGTAAACGAACGGAAGTCGCCGCCCAGTCGCCTCTTCCGAGATTCTCGTCCGGAGATAGTTAATGTTGCCGAGTCTCGATCACACGCGCCCAGAAAAATCGAAGAGAAAGTGGACAATGGAGAAATCGCACGTGCTCGGTTCCCGTAAAAAAAGCGGGAAAAATCGTGCAACAACTAAAATTGTATATTTATGCTTTCTACTATTTTATGGCAAATAGTATTGTCTGCATAATGCGATACTGGCAGACATCTTTAAATGTATAAGGCGGAAGCATTAAAAAATCTTAGATA